AATTAATGGAGAATTCTGACAAACTGAAAATGAAGTCTTCCGTGTTCACAAGCAGCAAGGTTCAACCCAATCGGCCCTGTACTTCACAAGATATAGTGCTTTGAAGAGTGCACATTTAATGTCACATGACTTGTCATAAGATGACGCCAACATCACATCAGGTCATTTTTTGCCTGAAGCATTTCCCTTCTAAGATATCTGCAAGGTTTGAGCCCTTCCCGATATACCGTGAAGGGTGTCCTCAATACACGCACTAAAAAGGGTTGGCCCAACAGCGTAAACGTGTATTGGGTAAACCACGCCCGCAATGCCTTAAGTGGTGTCACTGATCTGTGAACGTGAAGAAGGGAAATGCTGCAAGCTCACACACCGTCACTGCATTCCGTTCACCACAATTAAATGCATGTTGGCATGTCTTTAAAATCGTGGTGTACATGTTAAAAACCCCTATTAAATTCACGATCCTGATGTTTAAAAATCCGATCACGATGCACAACGAACTACACTGAGTTGTCCAACTTGCAATAATGAGCATAAAATAATGCTTACGATATCGATCGGTGCGCCCATGGTGCAGATATGACTATCACTACCAAGCTGTCGGTTCACGAAGAGTGCTGGCATGATTTGATTCAGCAAAACTGATTCACAAAATCTCATGAAATGGGATTAACAGTCCACCTTTTGTGAAAAAGATATCTCTGCTGCCCCGAAATGATCTGGGTTGTACGGTGTCATCAGGAATACTGATGCCACTTTCTTGACAGGTCAACGTACAGTACATCTCTGTACAAGAAAATGACAAAATTAATCCACCAAGGCATCTGTTTCTTCATTCAGATCGAACCAACTAACACACAGAAAGAAAAATCAAGTATTAACCTTTTTTTCAAAAAAAGTTGGTAAAGGTAAAAAATACACTCGTGGCAACAAGTATTTTTTTGCAGGGCCCGCTGTGGGATGCCCTGATGAAAATTGTATGCCTGCGCCACTCCGCTATACAATTTTCACTGCCCCGATTTTATGCACTGGATTTCCCCCCTTCTGCTGTCCTAAGTTTCCAAAGTACGAAGAAGTTGGAATAAACACAATGAGTTTGTAGGCATTAATATTGGGAATTATGCAGTACCATCTATGGATCTGGACGCAACGTACAAAACAAAGTACGTACCGGTATCATGAAAACACTGAAAAAAGATTTTTGTAGATTCGGATCTCAAAACTGATTCAGTCCAACTACGGACGGAAAATCCACAACTTAATCACTCACCTTGTGTGAAGGAGATATTTTTTCAAAATTAAAGCTTTTAATTTGAGATATACAGGATTGTCGAAAGCGCCACTGCCATTTTCTGGAATGGTTTATAATTATCTGGCTCAGCAAGTTCGGACAAAAAAATCAAGCTAGAAGAGAGAGAAATCGTATCAGTCAGAACCACCCAACAAAAGCAGATTTCCTGGCAAAGCATTCAATTTTGGTACAGTGTATAAGACCAAGCCACGTGGAACAGGTACGGACAGACTACCACCGTACCACCGATTGACCAACTACGTACCCGCACAGCCCTGACATCACACAAAATTGATTATGGACGTGTAGGTGGGTAGGTGATATGTATTGCGAACATTAACGAAGCCAGAATATCAGTCTTTAGGGTAAATTTTTAATCAATTTTTTTTTTTTTCCATTTTTAATTATTAGCCATTTGATTTGATATTCATTCACTTCGTCGCACAGAGAGCCAGCTTTGCCATAAATACGAGTTTCCTTTCCCTCTGGATAAAAGCTAATCCACGCCATGTCTGGGCTTTTCACCGGTACTTTATGTATATATTTGCCTCAAAAATTAATGAAAAAAATAATCAATAAAAAAATTAAGCTTTTTAAAAATCGACTTGTGATGGCCAAAGGCACCTCCCATAAACTTAAATCTTATAAATCTGTTTTTAAGAGCCTGATGAAAGTGGCCAGGAAACGCCTCAGTCCAAATTTCCCTGGGCACCCTCACCAAAAACCAATGCATCACGTTTCCAACTGAAAAAACGCTAGATTTTCACTGTCTTTTGTGACGGGCATAGTCTAGGCCTACCATTAAAATGGAAGAACATGTTTCACTGTTATGGCATCTTCTCATAATCAACTATCTGAAAAGAATTTCCAGGGAATGTAGTCTGCAAAATAAACACGTAGATTTGTTTGACACTGCATTGGTAAATTGGTACCCGGTACCGAGACAGGGTGTATGCACAGATATGATATTAACTCAATTTGAATTATGACTTCTATACACCGATGTACAGTCACCAATTTCTATGGTCCTCAAATCACAAATGTGGGAAACCAGGTGAACTAGAGCAAGTTTTATCTGTTGCAATTCATCATGGCGGCGTGTGGTAAACAATTTTTACTACGCGGCGGCGGCCCCATGGTTTATTTGCAATACTTTATTGGGCATACTCGGGGCCGATTTTGGGACATAACAACTATCAAGCTGTATTCTTTCCACAAAGCCTTTGCAAAGCGATATGTGGCTCTGGACTACAACTTCAATGAGAGATCATCTGCATGACTCCCAGGTGAATAGTCATCTACCGTACAGGCGCTAGCTGCCCATAAATGTAAATGTATTTTGGAAAGTTTGGCCTTTTTAGTCATGGTAACAGTGGGAAAAATACTGCTTTTAAACAAATTTAGACTATTTTC